TGGGGACCCCTGCTCTAGATCACAGTGAAAACAAGAAATGGCCAGCCAGGGTTTCAACAAGTAATACTTGAGAGACAAAAGTTCAGTAATAGTAATAAAAAGGCTTAAAATAAGCACAATAGATCGTTTTAAAGGTCTTCTTATGTCATCTTCTTTTAGTGAACCACATGAGAGTGACTCCCATGGACGTGGCCACCACATCCCTCCTCAATGTCTTCAGTGGTAATGAGTGTGGAGTGCAGGGGTCTTGGCAGGTCGGTGTGGAGCAGGATGTCACCCTAACCAATGGCTGCGTGGCGTTGGGCATCCGGCTGCCACACACAGAGTATGAGCTGTTCCGCATGGAGCAGGACGCTCATGGACGCTACCTGCTCTACAACGGCCAGCGCCCCAGCGACGGCTCCAGTCCGGACCGCCCGGAGAAGCGAGCCACGTCCTACCAGATGCCCCTGGTCCAGTGTTCATCCAGCAGCCAGCCATCAGATTCCAGCCAAAGGGATGACACACAGAGGCCTCCGTTGCACCCCAACGGCTGCACAGGATGGCACAGAGGCGGCCAGAAACGCGCCGCGCTGGCCATCGCCGCGTTCGTTACTGCTCAACTTCTTTTCTGGCAAAGCTAGAGAGCAGGTTGAGTATTTTATCCACAAAGACACAAAAGAGGAGTGTGGATTCATCAGAGACCCAGAGGGGGTCACAGAGACTGCATTGGTAGACTAAGTTTACATTTGTTGTTTTAATGAATAAAGGAGCATAAAGACTGGTCCCTAAACCTCTGAACTCTTTACCAAAGACTTGAGACTGCTGCACCACAGAAACTGCACTTTAGAGTGGAACCAAAGACTGACCTGTGTTTATACAAACATACAAAGATGTCTTTATATCCACACACAGACATGAGAATATGTTATATATGATCTATTTACCTGCGACTGTTTTATATGATCTATCATCGGAGGACACGCTCGTCACCGTTTACAATAAAATGTACTTAACGTGTTAGAATCTTTTTTTTTTCTTTTCTTCGACATATAGCCTTGAAGTATGGTGAAGTCGGCAGCAGGTATTGGCCTCCTATTCCAAATAATGACCAAGCTCTTGTCTTGAATGAAATAAAACGCTTTCATGTGCCAACAGTTACCCTCCATGTAATCTAGAGAGATGTTTTTGTTCCCTCGCCACTCAGACAGCTGCTTCCTCGCTGGCAGACACTCGACCTTGAGTCCAACGAGGCGGTTTTGTAGTTACGCAATGCTCACAGTGGGAACGACACCTGGAAAAGTGACAAACTACCACATCCGAGAATGCAGGAGATCACTTCAAGTGAGAGCTACATTAGTTTGTCCAAGTCATTCTCTATACTACTAATAAAGTGGATATTTTGGTTCTTTATCAATCTATTGCAACTGTGAACGATGACTGTTTTATTTCTCTCTGACTATACGCAAAGGTCTAAAGGCAGGTTTAGATCTTCTGCCAGTTACTTTCTTAAGTGTATAAAACCTGTGATCAAATGGCCGTAACATTTAATAAACATTCAGAGGTCCACTTCTATTTAAAACAAATATGAAAGCAGTGAAGCTATATATGAGTTCTAGACTTCAGGCAGCCATCGACTCCAAAAGATTTTTATCTAAGTGTTAGAAACTAACCTTATTAAAAATTGTTTGTCTAATTTTGAGCCTCTAAAAATGGGACTGTGTATAAAAATGTCTCATCTCTTCAAGCTTTTTGAATTAAAGCTGAGAATTTTCCCTTTAGTCACATCTTAATTGTTTGGTTTCCACTGTGGCTGTGTGAAGAAGAAAATCTACTGTATATAATCACTTCAGTGATATTACCGAAGACTCTCGCTGCGTCTAACACAAATAAGATGTTTGTGCAATCACAAAGGATCGACTGTGATGATGCATCACTGTGTAGTCAGCTGTGTTACCCGTCAACAACGTGGAGTTGTAACTGTGGTCTTCTAGCAAAGGCCTCTGTAATATAAGAAACAAAGGGATTAGTGTTTGTTGCTTCTTTCAGGTGGTTTTTGAACCTGAGGGTGGAATAAATTCTAAATACCTTAATGGGATTAAAGTCCTCATGTGTGGCTCAGTATCAAAACTCCACTCCTCCAGTGGGATCTTTATTTCAGCCTTAATTAAGCTCATGGGGTTTCACTCATCATTATCATACGTTGTCATTTCGATCTCCCTCTCGGTCATGGACAAGGATTGGAGTTTCCCAGCATGCTTCTGTCAAATTTAAGCTTGAGGTTTTGTGTGTCATCATTAATAGTGCATCGTTTTTCCTCAGTGTTCCCAGGCTAAAGAAGCTTTAACGGGCTCCAAGAAATGTCTCAATAACTGGATACATGTATGAGATTACAAAGGTTTGATACTCCTTCGTGTTCATTACTGCTCTTACAGCCAGATTTTGTATATTGTAGCTTACTGAACATTTAACAGGGAACATATTTTTGTTAATCCCTTTGTTACACTTTATGGTTCCCAGCAGGGCATTTAAAAAGCCCCAGTTTTATGGGTTTGCAAAGTGGATGTACGAGGGAGTCTTACATGGAAGTTTCCAAGGACAAACTGTCCACTGAGCAGCTTTAAAGGAGCAGATCGAGGCGAAATTTATCCTCAGACATATATGATCAGGTCTGTAACATATTCTCAGTACAAAGTTACTGTGAAGCAGCAGCATTTACTCACATTTGATAAGGTCTTCTGTTGTGCGCAATGAGTAAGGTGGAAAAAACAAAGGATTTAACCCCCCAAAAAATATGGGGAGAAAAAAAAAAAAAAAAAAAAATCCATTCAGGTGATGACAAAAACCTTAGCTCTATTGAATAGAAACATATACACGCAATTCGAGTGATATTACACCGTGACATATTACTTACATTAGCCACATCCTCCATCTGTGAGCCAAATATCGAGTGTTCCAACTCACCGCTCAATTTAAGCCAGTACATGTTCGTATTGTTATAGCAACAAATTAACTATGCTCAAACCTGAAAGAATAAATCATAAATATGGTTGATTGTGCTGCTGATGGGAGAAGCTACCCACAGCTTAAAATAATTGGTGGTATAATTGGTCATTACTACAGCCAATCATATAGCAGCAACGCATGGGTAAGAACACCTGCTGGACTTCAAACAGAGCACCAGATTGGAGAAGAAAGTTGATTTACAACTTTGAACATAGTTGCTGGGTTTTCCCACACAGCCATTTCTAGAGTTTACAGATAATGGTCTGAAAAGACAAAAAACGTACAGCGAGCGGCAGTTCTCTGGGTAAAAATGGCTTGTTGGTGTCAGAGGAGAATGACCAGACTGCTTCAAGCTGATAATGAAGGCAACCTTAACCACAGTAACAATAACAACAGTGACCTTTGGGATGTGGTGGAACGAGATTCACATCATGGATGTGCAGCTGACAAATGAGCAGCAACTATGCAATACAATCATTCAATATGTCTGAGAATCTCTGAGATATATACCATAAAGAATGAAGACAAAAACAGTACTAGCAACGTCTCACTCAAAGGGGCCACTCTGTACTTCAAGCATACAATTATGCAACTTTCAGCTCGTCTCTTAACACTATAGTCACACAGCCAAAGTCTAACATGCAATTCTCCAACTCTCTAGCGCCAAACAGAGAGAGAGGGGGAGAGAGAGAGAGAGAAAAAAAAAGTGGTCTTTTACCAATGCTGCAGTGAATCACGTCACTTTGTGCTTTAACAGAATAATTGTAGGTTTCAACTCCGTGCAAAAAGAAAAAAGTAAAATAATCAGCATCTTGTAAAGAACGCTTTCTCATTTTACCAATCAGGCTAACAAAAAAATAAAAATAAAAAATTTAGGAACAAGCTTACCACAGATGTTCCCCCCTCATCTGGAATACTATAATGTACCAGAAATGCATAAAATTACCTTGGCGTAACCGACAGTGACAGCGCCTAGTTTGTGGGAGCTCAAACCACAAGAAATGTACAACAATCCCTTCCTCGCTAACTCAAGTACAGCCCAAAACTTCCATCTTGATTCATCTGACCAATCTAGGTTACATCAAAATATATACATATATATGCACTGCAATACCTATGAAGCAGAAATATAAAGCAAATTTAGAAACGCAGGGTAATTCATATACTGTACTGCATTGTACAAACACAAAGTAAAACATTGGCAGCAACAACAAGCAGGAAAAGACAGCTATGAAAACCACATTTTTCATTTTTATTTTTCAATGTTGAATACCTTTGACAGGACTTTAAGAATGGAAACGTTATTTCAGTCAATAACTGCCTCAGAAGGATATACGATTTGTATAGTAGTAGCAATAATAATAATAATAATAACAATAATAATAATAAGTCTGTATTTGTATTGTGAGATCAAGACAAATGTACAAGAAGGAGGCACCTATATCCCCAGCTGGGCCTGAACATTCCAACACAAGTAGAAGAAATTACAAACCGAACAGATTTTACTTCAGAGGCAATCCAGCAACAGGTAGCAACGTCTTTATGATGGAAGTTCTTTCCTTTTTTGTTTAAAAGGATTTAAAACGACATTTACAAGACACCTAACATTCCATTCAATTCCTATTAAAAACAGAAGTAGAGGGAGAGAGGGGGGTGGGGGGGGGGAGATATTATTCTTTTGAGCGCTTCTTGCCCATGGTTAACTCTAGGTGCATCTTCCATGTTGACTGATAGTATACAACTTTCATTGTCCCACCACACTGGATATCTGGATTATACAGGCAAAGGAAAAAAAAAAAAAAGAAAAAAAGAAAAAAAAAAAAGAAGGGGGGGGGGGAATCGCTTTTTGTCGCCTTTCCTCACTCAACTCTGTGGATACTAACTGTGTGAGATTGTAAAAAGGCGGCGCCTTCAAATGATACTGTACAGATGTGTTCACTGTAGGCCACACTACCAATGATATGGCAAAAGTCAACAGAAAGACTTCTCGGTTTTTCCAGGCCTTTTTCCTTTTCTTTTTTTTTTTTTCCTTTTTTTTTTTTTAATTCCAGAGCCGAGGCGTGGGATACGGCTGGCATGCTTCTCCCAGTCTACAAGATGAACTTCCCTATGAAAAATCCGATGAAGATGGCTGCTATGACAACGAGGAGGGATGGTAGGGAGGCGGCGCTGGCTTCCCGACCGAGCAGGCTGGTCGAGTTTGGTGTCATGTGGTCTGAGCGGGGCATCTTTCTCATTCTCAAACCTTCGTCCTGTGTAAAAAACAGAAAACAAATAAAGAAGAGGAGTGAATAAGGTAATAAGATTAGTAAAACACAAGCACGTTTACAGAAATTCTCAAACTTTGAGCCCAGACTTGCAGTTTTCTGTCCCAGTGACTACTGCACTTAAACTCATGGTTCACTCCCCATTGTTGAGAGACGGACTACGAAATAAGCAACCACAATATTCCAACATAGCAGTCGAGTTGGAGAATTTCATAGTGATACTAAGGAAGGAACAATGCTGTATATGTAAACAGAAAGAGAAAAAAGGTGTCCAGCGTCCTGCTGGGCTGCTGTAAAACCATCTCCAAAGTCAAAAAAGTTAAATTTGCAACTTGGATGCGCATTTTGAGCTTGTTCAGCCTTTTAACATATGTACTCTAAGACACACTTTCCAAGGCCATTCCCCTCATCTCACACAGTGAGAGAGCAGATGCTGAAAATCTGTTCTTATATATTTGCAGAGAGGTCACTAATGACAACTGAAACTGGCAGAAAACTGAGAAATTTCTCTTTACTTTGTGACCTCACTGTGGAGAAGACAATGTGTAATTTTCCCACTTTTAAGTACAAGAGCATCAAACTAGATGCACATCCTGTCATACTCCAACATACATGCCAACAAGTCATCTAATAGTTCAAATGAGTGTCCAATACCCTGAAAACGGTCCCTCCCTTTTCCAGTTTGCCTCAGAAAATTCCTGTTGTGTCACTTATCTAGCTTATACCACAAACAGAGCAATAACATGCAAATCCATACATTTTAATCTTTTATTTCAACTGATTTTTGCATATCATCTTGCATTCTTCAAACAGAAGAGGTGCGTTCATCCTGCTGTTTTCCAGCAGAGGGACGCGTCTTTCCCTTGCTAATGCTGAGACTGACTGCTAGGCCCTCAGTGTAGCTGTCCCTTCTCACTGCCTGGTTGTTGTGAAGCGTGCATTAGAATAAAAATCTGCATTCATACAACTACACAAAATTCATGTTTCCACTCTGACTGCTCTAACAAACCTCTCTCATCCTCAGTTCAACGCTCTGGAAGAGCCAGAGGTGAGAAGTACCCAGCAAAACACACCCACACAACATGCTGTGTTGCATTCAAACATGTTGCTGTCACAAGCCTCTACGGAGTTTGAAACAAACACACTCAAAACCACCAGAGAGTAGTATGATGTTGGTGTGTACTCACAGGCTCGTACAATTATATTTGACAGTAAATCCCCATTCACACTTTGTTTCAGTTTTATTCTGTGTGGAATGCATTAGCATTAAAAATCCAAGTGTTTGACTACAATTAGTTACCAATCATATCCAACCTTTAATTGCCGGTTCTCCTCACTCAGCTTGTTCATCTCAGCTTGCAGTCTCTTGCACTTCTCCACCACTTTCTTCATCTCCGCGTCGTCCGCTCCGGCAGCGATAGGCACCGCGGCTGCCGACGACTCCGCCTTCACGGAGTTCATCACGGGGGCGGCTCGGGTCGCCTCCACGTCATTCTGCCCAACAAAGAGAGGATGAGGTAAGGCCCAGTATGCCCTGGGCTAAGTATGCCCTGGGCTAAGTATGGAGGTTAGCCTCTAGACGGACGCATGAGCCAAAAGAAAGGCGGCCTTGTTCGAGGGCCCCGAGGCTCATGGTGCCAGATGAAAGAGACAAGCAAAAAGAAAAAAAACATGTCTTTCCAAAAGTCATGGTGGATGTGGCTTTGTGTAGTGGCACAGACAGCATGACAACATGAGGGGTGGAGGAAGAAGAGAAAAAAAAAAGAGTGCTGCATAGTAGCAGATGAACGTTGACAATCAGTACGAGGGCAGGATCTGGGTTTTTCCTGGCTCAAAAGCAGACCTTTAGGGAGTGACTACGCTCTTGAGGATGATTGGCCAGCACATAGTTAAGGCATTGAGTACTTAATAGAAGTTTATCCTGATCATTCTGGGCCATTTGTTAAACAAAAACATATTTCAAGCTTGAGTAAATAAAACTACATTAAAATTAAAATCTTCCTGGAGGGTAACAAATAAAACCCTCTGGACATCATATCGCTCCCACAAGTCAGGCATTTATAACGAGGCCTACTAAGGCTCAGATAAGCAATGAAAACAAGGATGACTGATCGTACACAAACTGAATTTATTTTTTTAAGTCTTAAAAATGACCTAATGTGAGCCTGCAGAGGAGTTACTTATATATTGGGGGACCACACACACACAAAACCTAACTAACCTAGGTAACTCTGTAACAAAAACAAAAAGTCTGAACTTCTCTTTAAATTATTAGGACATACAGTGGAGGCACTAAGCTACACTAACATCTTTTTCATTAAAGCTTTCACCTTTTCTCACCTTACAAAAAAAGTTAGAGCTGCCTTTGTTATTCAGTGTTTCACATCAGCAGCGAAGACAAAGTTAGCTGTTGAAATGCAAAACGCACTGACGAGCCACGATTCCTGTGAGCCACAAGAATTTGATGCATGCTAAAAAAATATATATATATACATCTAGTAATTAAACATTTACATATAACATTTCTCCTATGCTCAGGAACGTCAGTATTGCTTACACATGTCCCTTTGGTCTTTATTTAAGTAGAGAGGTGTGACAGTAAAACACGTTGCTGTGTCTTTCTCTTTGTGCGACCTGCTACACCCTGATACATGGTGCACACAACTGCCGTCACTGCCAACACCTGGAGCTACCAGAAGGTACATTTACATAACAGTCGGTGGTTTCACTGATCTGGGCAACAAAATGAATTTTTCAAAGTTTGGAAAACTGGCAATGGAGCACAACACAATTAATGTATTAATTAATGTATTTTAGGAGAGACTTCAGGTTCTGATTACTTTTATGTGTTAAGCAGCACAGATTTCCCAAGTTTTCAATAAATAGTTTAGGGATATTTTCATTGACACAAGGCTGGCATGACCCATGCTAACATGTTCCTGTAAGCAGAAGATGACCTTCGGTACTCTGTGAATAGGTTCCATATTTTAAACACTCACACAGTACAATCCAGGAGGCACGTGGCCTGATCGGTCCTCAATTCATTCATAAAGAACTCCCTTCAGCTACAAAAAGAACTTGTGGAACAGAGAGTACAAGTCCTACAGATGCCAGATGCTTGTTCAGTATCATGTAGTAGTGCCTGAGAGTACACGACGAGAGAAAAATAAGACATTCAGGGCATTTAAAACTGCGAATATCATCCGAGTAAATATCACGATATAAACATAACTGCGTGCACAGAGATTTCAGCTATGGCTACTTTTACAAATAACTTCTCAGAGACAAAAAGTTAAAAGCTTTTTGTTTTTTGCTGAATAGTACAGGGAGAGATCTCACTTTTGAGCAGGGGTCTTGTAACAGGTATCCCATCATGAAGCATTACTGTCTGTGCTTTTTTAATTAAAAAAAAAAAAAAAAAAAAAAAAAAAAAAAATATACACACACACGAAAATTTCATCTCCATCCAGACAACAATGAGACCAAATCTAAGTTTAATGCGTAACATTTACACTTATGAAACCTGAATTTGATTAAAACAAGTGGAAAAACTGATTATTTATAGCACAATTTAGGATTTATAGTCTTTATAGCCCATTTTCCTCGATCCAAACCACATCAGACCAGGTCTAGATAAAAACAACCGCTGCAGTACATGAGACTGATCAAATTAAGGCCAGGTCTTTGATCTGGACTTTTTGTTTTTAAACTGCACAGAAAAAAAAAAAAAAAAAAAAAAAAAAAAAAAAAGGTTTTAAAAAAGGTTATGATTCAAAGTGACACATACTGATGTCCTGACATAAATAAGAGGAAAGTATCATCTAGTTTCTACTTCAGTGGTCCCCATAATAAGAGTGAATCCTACTCAGATTTGCATATCTTGGATTAGGAACTTAACCCTGATATTGTATATCGCGGGGTATGTCCTATTAAGATGAGGGAAATGTGCTCCTACTTACACACAGTTCACAGTCAGCTGCTGGAAATAGAAAAATTATCCTAAGCAACACTGGTCCTACAAAATATAACTTATTTAATCAGTCAACACTGATTAGCTGTGAAAAAGTAAAGCCTGCTATCAGTCAGATAATCAGAATCCGTTCACTCGCAGTTTTTTGGTTTTCTGGCTACGTTGCAGTATTGATCTGACCTAGGGCTGTTCGATAGATATCGGATGACGATATAAAAACGTCTATCGTTTCATTTTACGCTATCGTTTGTTTCATGGTGTCACAAATAAACTGTTTACGGCAATATTTTCTCATCGTTTTGATGGTCACTGTAGTGGCTATATTAATTTCTTAAAGTTCTCTTATAATTAATATAACCACACTACTGACGAACAAGCGCCTGTTTTTATGCATTGTCGTTAGCAACAATAAGGGTAAAACCATCGCGTGTCTGCGTGTTTATTTTCTACGTAAACCTTTCACAATAAAGCTCAAGATCCTGTTAAGACTTTTCAAAATAAACTGAACCCGTGAAAGAGTATGCAGAGTATTTACGGATGAGAAGCAAGAAAAGAGCCGTCAGGTGCTAAAAAAATAAACCTTAGACTCAAACATTAGAACAGGCTTTTCCCCGCAGCACACCGTGTAATAAATACTTGCAAAGAAAACGGCGGCCGTTACAACTTATGTCTAAAAATGCCTCGTTTCATACATTGTTAAAAACACTCGACTCCAGGTACATGACGCGCAGCTGGAAACACTTCACGCAAGTCGAGCTGCCCGAGATTCACAGAAAATTTTAAATTTTTGTGATTTATATCGTTATCGGGACGATAGATGTCTTATATCGGGATATGAGATTTTGGTCATATCGCACAGCCCTAATCTGACCCATTTAAGCTTCATCCTCTTTACCAACCTGACATAGTTTCAGAAGCATATAGAACCACTGCTCCATGGGCAGTGTCTCAGCCTGTAAATCATCACACTGCTATTCTAACTGCACCTAGTTGCTGAACATTGTTTTAGCTGCAAGATGCTGCAGAGATCTTACACTCTGCTCTCGACACAGGAATGTCATGCTAACACTATGTCAGACAATTTTTATTTTTCTAGAGTTTTTAGTAGCGCATATCCAGTTCAAGGAGGGACTCTGATCATTGCACCTTACCACTTTATCATTTTCAGATGGCAGCTCAAAGACACATCTCAGCTTGGAGTCCATGAGATCATCTGGCTTTGCATCTTTCCACTAGTGAGGATTTAAAAGCAAATGAAAGCATGTTATTCATCAACTTGAACTTCTAGCAGATTAGATTCTGTTCACACATGCACATATTAAAACTGTGCCAACTACTTCACATTGTATGTACAAGCAATTTATCCTTAAAATCTATATAACACAGGCACAGCTTCATTTCCTTTTATTTCTGTTTATTTGAACTATTTTCAACATATTTCAAAATGGCACCACCCAGACTCTGAATTTATAAAGAAATAAAGTAGAAAAGTATAGTACAGACGATAAAATAGAAAAGAAACAAAAGATTAAGTCACAACATGAGACTCCATTTTATACATCAGCACCAGTCAGACCTCGGTTTGTCTATACTATACTTCCTGAATTTTAAACCTCATTCAAAACAAGTCCGTTCATGAATACAATGACAAGGTATGTACAGGTTTTACTGGCTGACCGAGTCTCTGCTGTCCCCTGGTGGATAACTGGAAAATGCTTCAGAGTAAGGAAATTAACTCGGCAGATGATGATAACCCTTCAACTTAAAGTTTAACAGTAAAAGACTTTCTACTATCAAATATCATACATGAAATGTTTTCATTGAGTCAATCAAGTTAATATTTTAAAGCACAAGTCATGTGCATGTGATACTGGAATGCATAGGGCTCCTTTTACCAATAAAGACCAAACAGTAATGTTTGTTTTTACATATAAAAGGAAATGTGGAAGAAAGACAAAACATTTAAATGGGGATTTTTTTTAAGCTGATCAACTGTTTTATGTGAAAGAATTCAATAAGTATTAAAAACTATTCAGTTCAACAGATTTTAACTAGTAAGGTTTACCGTTTTGTTTGTGCAAATACTATAGTCATGCTTCCACTTTGACACATTTAAATGACTTCGGAGCTACGTAACCAAAGGTACACCTCTGTGTTATTCGCTGCAACATTAGAAGCAAAATAATGGGTTCAAAAGTAAATCCCAGTCACTTACCAATGATTCCATGTCGGTGACGTTTGGCGGGGCGAAAATAGTCTGCACCATGAATTTGTGTTTACTTTTCTCATTGGGGTCATAGTCAAAGGGCTGTAGCATGACTGTAAAACAGAAATGATCAATGGAGAACTGTTTGAATAAAAGCACATCTATACACAGAAAACAGATCGCATAAACAGTCAGCATACTAAACACCAGAAATGACCTGTGAAAACGTCCGAGGCATTGTTTTTACAGCATGTTTTTTTAATTTATCAGTGATTTTTTCCTCTTTACTCAACTTTTATTAAAAATAGATTCCTTTTTTTTTTTTTTAACAAAAAAGGTAAATTTACAGTTTTTCAAGGTACTTTGGAGGATGATTGTTCCAAAGCATCTTTAGACCTTCTCAGTGTTCCTTTGTACTTCATGCTGTTAAGACCAGGGGGGCACACCATCTTCTGAAGGAGTCCTTATTGTACTTTAATGTGATTGTGTGAGACCAAACGGGTACCTCCCCAATGACACTGAAGGACCAATAAGAATCTAACTTTCGTAGCTCCTAAAAACCTGATTGCCTGAATTAAATTAATACACACTTCAGCGAGTCAGACATTCACAAGAGATCCATTTTGGCATCCTCCCTCCCTTCTTAAATAGGTTCATTAAAGGATCTATTGAGTTTCAAGAGGATGTCATTCATTTTCCAACTTAATTCAATACAAGCTCACAATGTCATTGTTCACTAAAAGCATCAAATAAATAAAGCCCTCTGAAACTTTAATGTGTGGATATTTCTGCACACAAACATTGAAATAATGCCATTTGTCATACACTAAATTGGCAATGTTTGCAAAGAACAAACAGAAGCAGTGCATTTAACCATTATGGAATTTAAAAACACAATAAACATTACCAGGACTATGGTGCAAAAGTGCTTTGAGACGTTTCTACAGACATTCACATGTAGTAATGCTGAGCACGCTGGAGCTCAAATAACTTTAAGTTGCTAAACCTGCTGGAGGAAAAGGGTCACCGTTTTAAAAACAAGCAACCCATTTTCCCCTTTCACTGCAGTGAGTTGAAACAGTGCTTGTAGACAATGCAGGCAACTGTCTTTAAAATGACTAATGAATCTTAATAACCAGCCAAATTGAAACTAATCTGGCCCAATAAACCCCATTTTGCCTGCAGCCAAATTTACATACCAAAAAAGATGAAATTATAACCACTAATCAGAGTAATGTATTACTTCAATTAAGATGCTGATATGGGTTGCTTTCAGATGTGTTCTGTTAATATTCCTCATTATAAGAAGTTTTGCTTTATCTCAACTCCAATATTTCTGTTAGGCCCCAGTAGCCACCCTGAATGGACAATTGTGGAGCCTAAACACAACAAACTGATGGTACCCAAGCTACCTTAATGTCATCAGCAAACATAAGATAAACCAGCATTCAAAAGATATAGTAATGTATAGCATCTTAGATAGGTCAACTTGCTTAAAGGAAAACTGCTGAGATAAGGTCTCTGGCACAACTTGATCTACTCCAAAAGGTAGACAGAGAAGACGATAAAGCCTGAAGAAATTAAAGCTAAAGGAACTCTTGTTGTACACAGAACAACTTCATTGCTTGTGGCCTTAAGGGTCATGAGAAAAACATCATACAGAAATCATTGTAAAAACAGCATAGGTCACTTGGACTTTTTTCCCCCCCTAACTGAAATCTCCAACTTGTTGACCTATGACTGAACATTTCCTTTATTCGCTCACACTCAGTCCGAATCTACATGTTCAAATGGGCGGCAAAAAGACAGTTAACAAATAAAAACTTACCAGAGATGTTGACGCTTGATCCAGGATCGATAACGCCGCTGTTTGGCCGTACGCAGTACCTACGTGGCGCTGTCGTTTTCACTTTGAAACACACTCTTCTGTCAGAAGGGTTCCTCAGTTTGAGGTTGGTGGTGACTACATCTGTAAAAGGGCCTGGAAAACAACACACAAAAAAAAAAAAAAAAAAAAAAGCAGCGTTAGCTTTGTATTTCAGAGCACAGTCTCCAACACTGGTGTATGGTTCAAATCCAAAATTCTGAAAACTTCACAGATGACTGTAGGGCTGCTCGATTATGGCAAAAATGATAATCACGATTATTTTCACTGAAATTGAGATCACGATTATTTGACGATATTTATTTAACCCTTTAAGACCTACCATAGAACCAAGTCCACCAGAGCTTATATTATTTTTTTTTTTACATGCTGTAGTGCCATTTGTGGGAGCATTTCAAGTTGCTATACATCAATACAACTGTTATAGCCCATATTTTAATAATATGTATGCATTAAGTCCATAGTAATTACATAAATTGCAAAAAAGTGCAATAAACTACAAAAAAAAAAAAAATTGAAAATCGCTTTTGTTTTGTTTACATATATTTCTACTTGGAGAAATTTAAGAGGTTTATCCCTCAAAACTTTAAATACAATAAAGTTGCAAAAAATAGTTTCCCACCACAGGAAATTTATTTTGAGTGTCTTCATAGTTTTATTTTGGAAATACAGCAATTTTTATATACTGCAGGAAAAACAAAAAAAACAATCCTATGATGCAAATTTGCAAAGAAAACAGCATGTGCATCATTTCACTGTGGGAAGTGTTACGAACAGCTGATAGGAACGGCAAAGCGTGTTTCTGGAATATTATGTTTTTGTTCCTGCAAGCGCTTTTTATGCAGTTTTTGCAAAGCTATATGTGGAACGAAACCGTGACCGAGGACAAGCTGATGGCATAAGATGTAAGTACAACTCCTCCGGTTTCATATGCAAAACAAATTATTGCGCTAGCTTACACGGTTCAGGTTCTACAGGGATTTAAAAATAGTTACGCAAAACGGAGCGTGCTGCTCTGACCGGCTTTAAAGGGTTAACAATGACTTTTAAAAAATAATATAAAATGGTGTGCAACACCACTGAAGTTATTTTGTTTTTTTTTTTAAACTCTCTTTTCAACCAACGGCAGTCACTCTCCTCTCCAAATAATTTCTGCTTAGCTTTCAGAGCTTCCCTCGGGTCCTCTTAATCAGCGGTCTCCAACCTTTTTTGCACCACGGACCGGTTTATGCCCGACAATATTTTCACGGACCGGCCTTTAAGGTGTCGCGGATAAATTAGGGAGGGGCTAATAATCGGCTCAGTCATTTTTAATGATCGTTGAAAGCCCAGATCGTAATCGTGATTAAAATTCGATTAATTGAGCAGCCCTAGATGACTGAAACTCCTAGAATTAAGCTTTTATTCCCCCCAGTAAGTCTGCTAGATTAAAAAAATGCCACAATACTGAAGAAGATGGCTACATGTTTACACAGCAGTTCAGAAATTCAATATTTCAGGTTACACCTCCTCCCTGGAAGACAGAGAGGCATGCTGCGTTTTGGCGCCAAGCTTCAAAAAGACATTTAAAAAGGATTAGCTGAAAAATACTGACATGTAACTCAATTACAACAACATGATTAAGAAGCCTTATTGAATAGCAGGTTTCTTGGTTTGAGGCTACACTGTAGGGTAGTTTTTGCCACAAGTACAACAACTAGAAATCCATCAGCTGTGAAATTCTGTACAGATTTTGATGCAAGTTTTGTTTGTTTTTTTAAATCCCTCTTTTTGCTAGAGAATTGCACATCTTCATATCATTTTTATTACTTGAATAAACAGGTTTTTAGGCTTCCTGCTCCTTTTCACACCTAATCGATAAACTGATGGCAGTCAACAAGGATGAGTCATCTGTACATCCCTCGTTATAACATAGGCTTTATGAAGACATGAGCTTAATTTAGACTTCCGCGAGAAATCTATGTCCTATGTCCAACTAACGTTGCGGGCTGTGTCGACCCAACATGTAGTTACATTTCTCAGGAGGTGCACGTCAGGTTACATACAAGGTTACGGCAAAGAAACTTTGAGAGAAAGACACCAAGTTTCACTATTTGGGGATGTTAAAATAAGAATCTTTACTTATTTTTTGTTCTTTTTAATAACTGTATAGCCTATCCAATACAGATGGTGGGGTGGAACGACCTATGAAAGCACAGTTTCGCTTGGGATATCAAAGATGACCTCTTTTTCCTGTATGTCGCTCAAGTGATCACCTGAATCAATTACCCTTCATGTCTCCAAAACAGCTAATTTCATATAGACATCCCATGATGATGCTGACTGGTTCCGTATCAGGAGATCAAAAGTTGCACAACAGCCCACCATCTTGTGACACCACTGGCTTTAAATTAGGTCCTTAACCACGGTCAGCACTATCGAGCACGGATTGAACATATCATGTTGGAAAAAACAAAAAAAACAAACAAAACAACAACACACTTCTTGCCAAGTCAGAGGTACCCCAAACTCGATCAGCGCAATTAGGGTGGGAGTTTGGACAATGTCTCATGATGTTTGGTTAGCTGGGAGCACAGCATGGATGTTATAAATCATGTTTATAGAGTTTACCTGCCAGATAATTTGCAAGCTCATATGATTATTCTGATGTAACATATGTCAAAATATCCAAATTTGTGAATTTAGACACAGCTACAACTTAATATTTTTATGGGCTCTGTTAACAGGTGTACATCTTCATGCATGCAAAAAGTATAAAAGATGCGCTTTACTACAGTGATGTCACCCACCGTTTATGGAGCTTCAAGTTCAGGATTTTCAGCAGATGATTTTGGCGTTTTGAGCCTGGCCATAATGATGGAGGGTGGATCTAATGCCGTACGGTCATTGGCTAACAACTTGTGCTTTACAAGTTGCAAACTTGCATCCAGACAAGGACCAAACTGCTTGTTGTGTATTACTTTGAAGCTGACGGTGGTCTCGGGTCCAGGTTACGGTTTCCTAGGTAACAACCTAACCTAACATATTAAATGAGTCATATATTACCAATAAATAAAACCTGTTACCCAATAGCTGCCAGGCTTCAAAATTTGAAATACACCTTTTTCATCATTTAAATTACTAGTACAAAAATTTTACATAGGTATCCAAACTAGTTCCCCCATATCTGTATTTTTTTTTAACACTTCTAAAAATATCAGAACAAACCAAGAAACAGAAATATTCTTTCTACTTCCACAAGTTCTAAAGGTTGGCTTTATTTCTGGAGTTCAAAGTCAGCATTTAGCCTTGATTCATGCTCTGAAAGATAAGAAGGAATGCGTGACCAGAGCAGAATGGCTCCACCCAGCTAATACCAGAATGTACACTTGTGTGCCTACTGCGGCTTTTTTTTTGCTTTTCAAAAATCACAGGTGAGTCACAAAATGCCTTCATACAAACTTGAAAAACCTCATTGTTAATGGCGTGTACTTCGAGGATCTTTGTTCTTGCTACACAGATGAGTTATAAAGAATGACTTGCTTCCTGACAGAACAATACCAGGTTGTTCTAAACAGAGCCTACCTGTAGTAGTATGAGAACCAGAAACAATGTCTATTATAGCTTCAGCACTATGCTATACTAGCTTTTGCACTATGATGCTGGAAAGACTAGGTAAAAACCATGACTTTTTTTTAAATTTTATAGACCTAAACAGAAAACTAGCACAGATGAGTAACTGCTTCTATAAGCTCGAAATTAACTGAGCCCAAAATATTTCTACCTTCCGTGCGTTTTACACAATGATCACTACTACACCAAAGCCTAAAACTGGAAAACAGTTGTGTGCATCAGATATCCCACCCACATACTGCAGCTTGCATCCACTGCCCAACACTAAGATGCCACCTTTTCTCAAGCAGCATTAGCAGCACCTCTCTCATCTTGTTGCATGTATGCTGAGTTAGGGTCCCCCCAGGCCAGTCCTGCTCTAAAAATACCAACCAAGGAAAGGAGGGCTGCCCCCTCTAGCTTGCTGGAGGAGTCCCAGCAGAGGCTCTAAAACAGTCCAGCTTTCCAATACATGCAGACCGATTTAGCTCTGTCTCTGTGAAGGTAAAGAAGCTGTGGTCATCGTCCTTCTCCTCAGATTGCTTCTTCACATGAAAAACCGAAGCCACTTAAATGTGGGCCATACAAAAATGTAAAAACAAAACAAAACACAAAAACAAGGGTGGGGGGGACAGCTCCCAAATTTAAGTGATGCATTCTTTAGGGATTTAGTACTTGGGATTAGAGGTCCCCCCCCAATGTAAGATTTAATATGATGCTGGTTCAATAACAGGTTAAGTGGCCAAAGGGCTTAACAGGTATAAAGACTTGAGTCTCTAAACACGACCGGTTAAAAGTATGACAAAACTCTGGTTTGTATGAAAGCAAATGGGCCACTATACTGGAATTATCATACATGTTCTAAGTTAGGGTTTAATTTACCACAGCATAAAATACACTTTTGTTTATTAGATAGTCATAAATAACAGGAAGGTTCACAGACTTTTGTTAAGTAAGACAGAGTCATAAACATGTGTAGTCCCTACAAAAGGACTATTTTGATACAACCAAAACCCTGATATACAACATACAATATGCTTCCAGGTTCTACTGCTAGGACATAAACATATTTTCATTATAATTTACATTTTATATCAAATTGTTAGAATGTGGTTTATGACCCAGAAATTGGGATTTTCTTACATGTGCAGTGGATTAAACATTTTGGCCTCTGTGCTAAAGAACAAAACGAGTCAATGAGGATCAGTAAACAATGATCAGTATGAACAGCATCATACTGATGCAATTTAGCTTTGCGTCCAATCCAGAATATAAAAAGCCAAAAGTTTAATCTGATGAGGGAAAATGTAAACCGTGTGACTGATCAGTAACAGGAACAAGTCAAATTAGAGTAGAATTTCTTAATCGGGTAAAAAGTAGAGGTCCATAATCAGATTATGACAAACCATGTGTCTACCATCAGGCTAAATACCCATGAAATTTTAACGTTCAGCTGGAGAAAGTTTCATCTATTTATTCTGGTTTACCTCGTTGCTCCCAAAAAACAACCTGTCCGAGACAAATAAGACTATTGGTGGCTTTCCAACCATATGATTGAAGAATTTTATCATAATAGCAACATTAACCTGTTGTTTGATGCTGTTATTATGACATAACAAATGTGAGTTTAATCAAATGGTTACTACCTTTTCCAGATGTCTTTCAACTTAAGCCAGAGCAAGTTTTTACTGATTTACATCCATACCCCTGTCCAATTACAATGTCAGCCTGTTGGAAAAGGCTCCATTCACCATCGCACTTTCTGTTGCACCTTGCATGATAAAAACATTCCTGGATTTTAATCAATGTACACAAATTTTATAAGTTTCAGAGTTTTAACATGGGGGGGGGGCGCGCCTTTATTTCACCTGTGTCATCGTCAAATACAGGCAAAATAATAATGTCCAGGGTGAAACTAATAATTTTTAGTTTCACCCTGGACACCTCATCACCAAAACATTCTAATTATTACACCCCACCCACAGACACAGCGGGTCTGGAATGTGAGCTTGTGTCCTTCCTAATGATCCTGTCAGACTACAACCAGTATCAATTCACACCTTGTCCAAACACCAGTGTCCTCTTATAACCTCGTCCAGGACAGTGGTACATTCAACAGAAAGAGAAATAACTGTCTAGTTCGCAAAAATGCTTCCAGCAGGCACAGAGCTTGGTAACTGGGACAAATACGAGAAGTGCTGTGCGGAATTTTGGGTCAAAATGAATAATGATGAGGATAAATAGTCCAACTGTGGAGATTGTTGTGTCACCCATGGCCTGGGAGGGCTAGCTTCATTGAAATCAGCGCCGTTTACTGCCACTTCATCCACTTGCCCACAAGAGCAACAGTTGGACTCACAAATGACCAAAAGTTATGTTCTATCTAGGACTTTTAAAAAATGTGATATGGGTCTCTTCAGGTCTGTCAGACGCAAAACAACACGGTTATACAACTACACAGCTACACATCAACTTTGGCATTAGCTGGCTAGCCAAGCTATCATTAGCCAACGGTTAACTGACACATCACTGGACGTTATCACTACCAGGAAAAGCAATCAGTGCTGAATGCGCGAAGCACCCTGCTTTCCCATGAATGTGCCGTCCTGTTTTGCCCAGGATGCGAACACACGCTTAAAATTAGCCAATATCTAGCTAATAGGTTTAGGTCAACTGAACTAACGTTAGCCCGGTGTTGCTATTAAAAAAAATAAACTATCCATGTTGTTACAGTTCACGTTAGCTAACCAAGTTTGTCATTCCAACTGTCAGTCACTTTAACTGGCTTCACAAGTTCCTGCCACAGGTGCATCAAGATAAACGCTGGATTTTTCATTCTGAAATTAATTTCTTTCCAGGGAATAGCAGGAGTAAACTGTTGTTTCTTGTGGCTTAGGCTAACACAACTAGCAACAGCATAGTAGCTGATATTAAAAGTGAAGACATACACAAACATGCTTCTTAACGTGTAGACTTTAACTTTCCTTTTTTTAAGCAGTCACTGACAGCCACATCCTTCCAGCTCTTTGCCTGGTACTGTCAGTAAGCTGGTACTGAATAGCAGGCCACCTGGGTGCACGCCTGCCCGGCTATCCACGTCACTATAGCGCCAGGCTGCAGCGGCCCGTCCGGCTCCCTGGCTAACTTAAAATGGCGGTGAATGCTAGCTAGCTTGCTAGCAACGAAATTCGCTTGAGGGAGTGTGAAATCATTGCTTCACTACCACTACTACTCGCTGGACATTTGACACGACAACAAGTAAATAAATAATATTTCATTCACATACCTTTAAATTTGAGGTCAGACGGAGGGTCGAGGATAAGGATCTGATCCAACTTTGACATGTTGGCTGAAGGGATGCACTTGATTTCGGTATCGTGGAGTTTACTAACAAGTGGAAATCCTGGATCCCTTCTGCCACTACTGAGTCAAACGCTGACTGAGCTCAGCGAGCATGTGGGTACAAATACTTGAACGCGCGAGTGCACAGCCCTCTGTTGCGCGCACTCGTGGTCTGGCAACTGATGCGATTATGGTACAGTAAACGAGTTATAATGTGTGGACACTGAAATAGACGTACGGGGAAGGAAAAACATGTTATAAAATAATCTTATAAAATCCAGAACCAAGTTAAATTGTGCTTTATTGATTTAATCGAGAATTTTAATCAGGGACGTATGATAATCGCATGTCTGCGGTGTATACATGCACATTAACGCAGTAAATTCACTCTGCAGTAGTCTAGTTAAACCTGTTAGAAGTATTAGTGAACGTACATGTAACGTAAATGTAAGTGTTGTTTGTGGTTTAAAGGGCATGTTGAGGTTGGTGTGTAGCACGGGTCACATGTTGCCCTGGTAACAGTACCGGAGTGGTCACCCTTTAAAGATGTTTGTTTACGACGTAATCAATGTGTGCAATCAAACTAAACCACAGATTACTTAATCAGTATACTGATAACAGTATACTGAGTATACAGATACTAAGGGACTATAGGCCCTTAGTATTATCTTATTTTCACAGAAGTGATTTTTTTCCATCAATGCAAAATTTCATTAGACTATTTTAGATTTGGAGATCTTATAAAACCATGATTTTAACCACTACTTTTAACAACAGTTGTATCCCTCTGGGAAAAATTTGGAGACCAGTTGTAGGACTTTTGAGAGATGAATGTCGTCTGGTTCGTGTCTGATATATGACTCTAGCTGCTCAAAAATTCCAGGTCTTCTTCTTTGTTTTTACTTTTCATTTCATCATGCTTATAATGCTTTTCATTGGTGAAAAGTCTGATATACAGGCAGGCCAGGTCAGCACCTGGACTTTTCTCCTACTAAGGCAGTAATCAGATTAGCATAGTCTGAAATATGCAAAGCTTTCCCTGAAAGAGGACGTCATCTGGATGGGAGCTTTATGTTGCTCTAAAAAGTGTATATACCTTTCAGCAGTGATGATTGCTTTTCCACCTGGAAAAAGGTGTGCGAGCTCCCAGTTACACAAGCATTAATTCCCAGACACAGACAGTGATTTCTGGAAGTGTTCCTGAGCCCACGTAGTGATTTCCATGACAGAATCATGACTGTTTTTAAGGCAGTGCTGCTTGAACACAGACTGGTGACCTACTGCCAACTAACCTAACTAGTTTGAAAATCTTCCTGCAGCTGTTTCTTTTTTAGTTAATACTGAAGTCAGTGCAGAAAAACACCAACTGGTTGAGGAGAACTCTTTCTAAAAAAGAAAAACTTTTTTTATTCGAGAGATGAAACTTAACACATTTTGGGCCATCATGTGAGCGTAGATGAAAAGGGGAATGCTAAAAAGGGGAATTTAAGATGCTATTTGCGAGGAATCCAGCGATTTTGTGCAGTGTGTGTACTCATTGTGAACTATTAATATCTGAGGCTTGCTCTCTTAGAGACCATTGACACTGCGATCCATCGCTTTTATGGGAATTGAGGACTTCTCCTCAGTAAGCTGTACTGAATAGGACGCAGTCTACATGTGATTTGAGGTGTTTAAAGCAGTTCAGAGTGTCACGCTTGTGCATGTTCAGAAATAATGATCATTTCTTGCTGTTAAAGATAAAAGGTTGTTCTATAGTGATATCGGGTTTTTTAGGTGAAAGCCAGACATTTGTTCTTCCATAATATACCTTCCCTACCAGTATCATGTTCAGTCATTTCCATAGGACTCCAGTATAAGGTGGTTTAAATGAGGCTGCATAGAGTGTTTTCACAATGTCAAGATGTTAATGTCATGATACAACCCTCTTTTAGTGACTGCATCTTTCTCACTCATTTACCTATTATCAAAACTTAATAGAGATCTTGAGAAAAGAGGCTTGTTCGGTTCTAAAAATGAAAGGTATGGGTCATTACCAACACCTTAAGGGTGGTTAAAAGTGAAAGTACTGCGAGACCTCATTGGTGTCATAAGCCACTGTTCAATGACGATCCACATCAGTGGACAGATGGCCTGTTTTACTCCTCTTTCAAACCGTTTGTCTTCTCAGTCTAAAGTTTGAACTCTGGCATCCTTCAAAGAGTGGCCTTTATCCTTTAGATGCAGATGTGTAGCTCAGTCTTGTCCTGTTGAGGTGGCTCTTCTACGCTGTGCCATGCATTTATGGAATAGCTGTTTGTTTTCTCCAGTGAGAACACTATGATACTTAGCATGTGTTTGGGAGTTTTGTCTTTGGGATGAACCAGCTTTTGTCAAGTGTGTCGCTGGGTCTGAAGTGTTCTGGGATGTCAAGCTTGTTGGCTAAAATTCTCCAGTTTCTTTGACAACAAGCGGGATTCACCCCCTTTTACTTTTACAGCTGAAGAAGACTCTTGGATGATTGATAGATCAAATATCATCAGTTCAGTTGCCTCTTTGTTTTCAAGCTCTCTAGACTACTGGATGACTGAGAAACTGTACAGACATCAGCTTAGTTTGTAATCCTTTGACAGTGTTTGAGATCTTTGATGACACTTCAGTATTTCATTATTGGAAAGAGTAAAATTTGAAGAGAAATTGAATCTTTACTTCTTTATTACATTGATTAATATACAGATGTTAATCTGGTCTATAGAGTAAACAGAGAAGCATGACTGCAGCATACAGTATGAGTGTGACTGTAAAGGAATGGCAGTGTTATGTATATATTTGGTCAGACATGAGTAATTAATTCTAACAGTATGCACATTTTAGCCATGTCATACATTTTGTTTAGAAAAACATACAAAAGGCACTTGTGTCGCCATCTCAACACACAAAAGGGGGTCCAAACAATGCGCACTGAGAAATCCAGTCTACATTGTATGAAGGTTGTTTTCAATCATAACTCTTCCAGCTGATATAACTTTGTTTATATCTGGTACTAAGAAGCTCTTAAGTTCATTTCAGTTTTCATCTTAAGCCAATTACTGAGTGGTGCATTTTAGTGGAAGATTGTAGTCCCATGCCGCACATTTGCTCCAAATTAACCTCTGAGCTAAAAAACTGCGTCATATACCTAAAGGTATGCACCGTATGTTTTTCAGATAAGCAAGGCCACACAGACTAGAAGATTTCTGAATGAAGGCTGGTATATTTTCCCATATATAGGGCGGTAAATATCATTATATTTATGGCATTACAAAGTCAACATTTGATTCTATTATCCCATCATACCTGTTGATAAAAACTGTACACGTTATAATGTAAATAAGTAACTCAAGTACAAATGTAAACTACAAATGTAAGCTATGACAATGCAAAACTAATTGGTCAGTATTGTAATTAATTTTCATGTTCCTTCAAATAATTTCTCCTGTATGCTGAAGTTAAGGAGAACTGCAATAGTTAACATTTTTACTATTAAAGCAACTCCCAGCTGATACTGTGTAAATATGCAAAGTGCTGCATGATGAACGGTTTAAACGGTTAGGGCTGCGCTCCCACAGTTCTTTTAGAGTTTGGTTAGTATATGCAATATAACAGCTGCACACATGTTTAAAGTCAAATAGATGCAGTTCTTGTCTCTTATCAACAATACAAAAGTGACCCCCTTTTACAGGTAAAATGCATGAAAAAACAAAAACACGACTGGCAGCTGTATACAGTCGTTCCCTGCAATGAAATCTCAATACACTTCAGCACGTAGAAAACATCTTTAACAAATCACTATGTAAACAGTTCTAGCATTGGTCACAGTGTTTCAGCCGGGGGTGTCATGCTGTAATTGTGATTCAAGCTGTTCCCACTGCAGCACTACAGTTAAAATCTTTCTAAAGCAAATGTGCGTGAAAAACACGTGAGGAATGTAAACCTGTCGCATTTGAGCTACAGAGATAAATGCTCGTCTGAGTTTGTTCTTAACGACCTCTTACTTAAATGTGGCACATGTGCACAAATGCTTCATGGGTGGAGGAGTTAGACTTGCTAAAAATTGATATTAAGAATTTCAATGTGTTTAAGAGCCACAGTGCTATAATAGTCTACAGAGAAGGAGAGTGATGAAAACAACTATTAAATTCCTGTCTTTAGAAAACACGTCAGCTCCGCTTGTTTTTAATTTGTGCTCAATTTTAAAGTCAGAGTATAAAATGAGTTGAAATTTAGAATGAGCTTCTGTATGTATCACACCACACAGTAGTTCAGCCAGAACACCACCTGAGGGGGACAAACTGAAGGCTTTCTGCTTCATGACTTCAGCAGATCTGAAACTGCTAGGAATAAATTAAATAAACATGCATGTTAAAACTGGTGGATTGACGCATATAATACTGCTGGCAGGTTTTTCTGTTTCATGTTGCAATCAACCACACGTGCAGGCCAACTTCAGTCTGCTCACTGTGCTGTCACTAGGGTAAGACGCCGTGTGGATTGCTGTGCTGGTGGGTCCTTAGTGCGGAAGGAAGTCATCTTATCAGCCGCTGCTGGTACTAGCAGCACCTCCTGGTGGATGGAGCAGGCTGTCGTGTGAGTTTAAAGGAATCATTGCTGTCCACCTCAGAATTTTCCAGGGGTGGAATTTGTTTACCTAAAAATACAGACATTTAAAGAGATTCCACATCAGATTTAGTCATCTTAAGCATACAAAGAGTTTTATAAATTTAGCTGAGTTGTATTTGGCATTGCTTCACTACTACTAAAATTAAGGCAGAGCAGTTTTTTTGATGACCACATGAAAGAAAGGAGTTTGCTTAGCTTAGGATACACAGCGTTGAACCAAAACATCCCAGCATCAATTAGCCGGAATAAAAATAAAACTTTCACTGTGTTATATTTGATTTAAAATGTATCCCCCACATTATGGCAGAACCTTAATGCAATTAAAACAGAAAATGTGCATTACAAACTGCATGTTTCATATCATCATTTGGAGTCATGCTGTGTTGCAGGCTCCAGGGTAATGTAGAGTCCAGGTTTATTTGGAACTGAATAATTAAAGTCAGAGATTTTTTTCTGCTTCCATTCTGAGCACAAACAAAAGATACATTTAAAAAAAACTGTCTCTTGTCACATTTATCCACTTTGTTAAC